CATACCTCAATATCATAAAAGCCGTCTATGAAAAACCTACAGCGAATATCATTCTCAATGGGGAAAAACTGAGAACTTTCCCCCTAAGGTCAGGAACGCGGCAGGGATGTCCACTATCACCACTGCTATTCAACATAGTATTGGAAGTCCTAGCCACAGCAGTCAGACAACAAAAAGAAATCAAAGGCATCCAAATTGGCAAAGAAGAAGTCAAACTCTCACTCTTTGCAGATGATATGATACTTTATGTGGAAAACCCAAAAGACTCCACCCCCAAACTGCTAGAACTCATACAGGAATTCAGTAAAGTGGCAGGATATAAAATCAATGCACAGAAGTCAGTGGCATTCCTATACACTAACAACAAGACAGAAGAAAGAGAAATTAAGGAGTCGATCCCATTTACAATTGCACCCAAAACCATAAGATACCTAGGAATAAATCTAACCAAAGAGACAAAGGATCTGTACTCAGAAAACTATAAAATACTCATGAAAGAAATTGAGGATGACACAAAGAAATGGAAAAACATTCCATGCTCATGGATTGGAAGAACAAATATTGTGAAGATGTCAATGCTACCTAGAGCAATCTACACATTCAATGCAATCCCCATCAAAATACCATCCACTTTTTTCAAAGAAATGGAACAAATAATCCTAAAATTTGTACGGAACCAGAAAAGACCCCGCATAGCCAGAGGAATGTTGAAAAAGAAAAGCAAAGCCGGCGGCATCACAATTCCGGACTTCAAGCTCTATTACAAAGCTGTCATCATCAAGACAGTATGGTACTGGCACAAAAACAGACACATAGATCAATGGAACAGAATAGAGAGCCCAGAAATGGACCCTCAACTCTATGGTCAACTAATCTTCGACAAAGCAGGAAAGAATGTCCAATGGAACAAAGACAGTCTCTTCAACAAATGGTGTTGGGAAAATTGGATAGCCACATGCAGAAGAATGAAACTGGACCATTTCCTTACACCACACACAAAAATAGACTCCAAGTGGTTGAAAGACCTCAATGTGAGACAGGAGTCCATCAAAATCCTAAAGGAGAACACAGGCAGCAACCTCTTTGACCTCAGCCGAAGCAACTTCTTCCTAGAAACATCGCCAAAGGCAAGGGAAGCAAGGGCAAAAATGAACTATTGGGACTTCATCAAGATAAAAAGCTTTTGCAAAGCAAAGGAAACAGTCAACAAAACCAAAAGACAACTGACAGAATGGGAGAAGATATTTGCAAATAACATATCAGATAAAGGGCTAGTATCCAAAATCTATAAAGAACTTCTCAAACTCAACACCCAAAGAACAAAGAATCCAATCAAGAAATGGGCAGAAGACATGAACAGACATTTTTCCAAAGAAGACATCCAAATGACCAACAGACACATGAAAAAGTGCTCAATATCACTCAGCATCAGGGAAATCCAAATCAAAACCTCAATGAGATACCACCTCACACCAGTCAGAATGGCTAAAATTAACAAGTCAGGAAACGACAGATGTTGGCGGGGATGCGGAGAAAGGGGAACCCTCCTACACTGTTGGTGGGAATGCAACCTGGTGCAGCCACTCTGGAAAACTGTATGGAGGTTCCTCAAAAAGTTGAAAATAGAGCTACCATATGATCCAGCAATTGCACTACTGGGTATTTACCCCAAAGATGCAAATGGAGGGATCCGAAGGGGTACGTGCACCCCGATGTTTATAGCAGCAATGTCCACAATAGCCAAACTGTGGAAAGAGCCAAGATGTCCATCGACAGATGAATGGATAAAGAAGATGTGGTATATATATCCAATGGAATATTATGCAGCCATCAAAAGGAATGAGATCTTGCCATTTGCAATGACGTGGGTGGAACTGGAGGGTATTATGTTGAGTGAAATAAGTCAAACAGAGAAAGACATGTATCATATGATCTCACTGATATGAGGAATTCTTAATCGCAGGAAACAAACTGAGTGTTTTTGGAGTGGGGGGTGGGGTGGGAGGGATGGGGTGACTGGGTGATAGACACTGGGGAGGGTATGTGCTCTGGTAAGCGCTGTGAATTATGCAAGACTGTTGAATCTCAGATCTGTACCTCTGAAACAAATAATGCAATATATGTTAAGAAAAAAAAAAGAAGAAGTAGAAGGTAGCGGGAGGGGAAGAATGAAGCGGGGGAAATCGGAGGGGTGGACGAACCATGAGAGACGATGGACTCTGAAAAACAAACTGAGGGTTCTAGAGGGGAGGGGGGTGGGAGGATGGGTTAGCCTGGTGGTGGGTATTGAGGAGGGCACATTCTGCATGGAGCACTGGGTGTTATGCACAAACAATGAATCATGGAACACTTCATCTAGAACTAATGATGTGATGTATGGGGATTAACATAAGAATAAAAAAAAAAAAAGAAAGAAACAAAACAAATGGGCACCTGGGTGGCTCAGTCGTTAAGTGTCTGCCTTTGGCTCAGGTCATGATCCGAGGGTCCTGGTATCGAGTCCCACATCGGGCTCCCTGCTCAGCGGGGAGCCTGCTTCTCCCTCTCCCTCTGCCCCTGTTCGTGTTCCCTCTCTCACTGTCTCTCTCTCTCTGTCAAATAAATAAATAAAATCTTAATAAAAAAAAGAAACAAAACAGATGAACATATGGGAAGAAAAAAAAGAGAGAGAGAGGGAGGCATACCATAAGTGATTCTTAACAATAGAGAACAAACTGAGGGGTGATGGAAGGAGGTGAATGGGGGATGGGCTAGATGGGTGATGGGTATTAAGGAGAGCACTCATTGTGATGAGCCCTGGTTGTTACATGTAAGTGATGAATCACTAAATTAAAAAAAAAAAGGAATAACTCTAATGAAAAAGGGCAATCCTTCATAGAAAGATGCATATAAATTTATGGAATGTCACTAGAGAAAATCTAAATAAATGGAAATATATATAGACTTACCTCACATAGCATCAATAGTGTTAACAATTCTGTCCTAATGGCTCTTGAAATGATACCATTTTTGGACATCTTGTTTTCTGATTTACAAGTGACCCTTGAACAACACGGGTCTGAACTGTGCAAGTCCACTTACACATGGATTTTTTGCAGTACAGCACTGTTAATGTATTTCTTCTTTCTAATGATTTTCTTAATAACATTTTCTTTTCTCTGGCTTTATTGTGTGAATACAATATATAATACATATAACATAAAAAAAAGGAATACACAGAATATTTGGAGGTGATTGGACATCAGGTTGGCAACTTTTCCTCAAATCGTTCAGGGGAAAAGCTCTTGCATTGTACTTGCAGCTCTTCTGTAACTTCGATATTGTTTCAAAATTAGAATTTATTTTTTTAAAAAGAGCAAAAATCTCCTAACCTAATTTAGGAGGCAAGAGTTTCAGAATGTATGGATATAGGTGTAATACAGAAATCGATCAATGGACATTTACCTATTGAATTTCCATGTGGGTTCCAGCGGTCTACATGACAAGACATGGCTGCTATTTAGTCAAAACTAAGGAGGAAATATATGAAAATGGTGGATTAGTGGATATATGTAATATGGGCAATACATACAATAGGCCATCAAGAAAGTGACCTGGAAAAGGCTCCAGATGAGAACATCAGTGCGGGCAGGATTATAGGGCTGGCCGTAAACACAGCTGCGGCAGGGGATAGTCAGGACACTAATTTGACAAAGAGCAGAAGGCTTGTAATGGAAAGTAGTAGGAGATATAGCAAAGGGAGACACAACATGAGGATCTTTGCAAGCGACATTAAGGTGTAATGATGAGATAGTTAACTTGTTACTCTAAACAAAAGACCCAGTTTAGCAGATAAAATCAATTGAGACAGAAGTCTATAATCATTTTCCTCTTGACTAGCTATCAACTAAGGTAATGGTTTTCAAGTGTAATTATTTCTTTCCTCAAATGTAATCCTATTTAGAAGTTCAGTGTTTTGGGTAAATAAAAATGAATCTGCTCTCATTCAATACAGAATGGAAAGCCTAGGGCCCCGCTTCTTGTCCTGTGTTTGCAAATGATAATCCAGTGAGGGAGCTCTAGCACTCAAAGATCGTAGATGGAAAATCATGACTATAGAGCAGTCTGAAGAGGTTCTCAGAGATATTTACATCGAATTTTTAAGTGGAAAGTCTCACAATAACGGCATATATGCTGGTTCTCTTTTTCTATTTCTTTGCATTAATATATCAATCTCATTATTTTTTCTGTCCAGAATTTCTAGCCCAAACGGAGTTGTTTTAATCAAACAATGTATTTTTTGATTTTCCCATAAAATGATCATCTGGCACCACTCTGTAGAAACACATATAGGGATTATATGTTTGGCATTCAGCTGCAATACTTTTTGAATCAAATTAAAAATATATTAAATTATTTTCTTTATCAGGTAGACAGAGTTTATGAAAATCTGGTTATTAGTCATTACCTTTAGGGATCTTCTTAGAAAACCAAGTTTTTTTTTTCAAATTTGATATAATTAAAATCATTTCAAAATATTAAGATAATAGGATATTTAGAGAATATACTCAGAAATAAAATGACATTTAACTATAATTTCCTTTTCATTTTAGTAGATACTGATAAAAGTATAATTAAAGTTATCAAATAGATTATTATGTTTAAGTTTCCATTTATTTGATAAGCTCTTAAAGCAATCACAAAGCCAAAGCAAGCCACAGACTACCAACTCTGCCTTCCACCAGTGACTGGGCTCTCATTGCCATCCAGCCACCAAGTTAACCAATTCCTGAGTCCCATCTTTACAGCTTGGGGGTACAAATTCCAGCACATCTTGGTCAGGTTCTCTAGAAGCAGCACCTAAGATTCCTGTGTAATTTATTGGTCAAGAAATCTCAGGAGAAAGGGAGTAAGGGAAGCAGTAGAAAGTAGAAAACAAACACAAACAGGGATGTGGTCTCAGCTAGAGACTAGTTTTAGTCTGATTCAATGCGGAGTTGGAATCATAGAGTTGGTCCTACCTTGAGCAAGGGAGTCAACCTGGCTTCATTAGTCAGTTTTCAGACTCTGGCTGCTTGGGGATGGAGTCTAGGAAAGTGGAGCATAACCTCCCCATAATGTTGAACCTGATTCAGCTGAGGTCATTTCTCCTGGGAAGGACCGGCTGTGAGTTTTCAGCAACCAGCCCTTATGACCACTGTGGGGTAGGCGCCCCAGCCCAGTGAAGGAGATCTGATCCACTACATCATTCAAAGATAATCTTGAAATTAAAGATACAGCTACTGATAATTATGCCAACAACAATAACAACAACAACAAAAACAACCAATCCCCCCCCCCAACAACTATAAACCAAGACTGTCCCAGGCAAACAGGAATATGTGCTCATCCTGCCTCCATCCCATTACTTCCTTGGTATATAAAACTGTTAGAAGACTGAGGGACTGATTTTCCTTTCTTTTACTTCTGATCACAATCCCTCAGGACCAGAGAGAGAATTGTTTACTTTATCCTAAACTATTAAAAAGTTTCAATCAAAGAAATGATTATTTTTTAGTTAAAGATAACATAACTTTAAGCCCATTGTGTGAACTTTACTTTGCTAATTGAATGTTCTTAAATTAAATGTCCCACAACAAAAGGCAAAAGTGTGAAAAATCTTTTTAAAAATGGCATTGAAGTGCTACGGTTACAACAAATGTTTAAGATGAAGAAAATTGAGATGAAGTTTCTTTTAAAAACACTACATACAAGAAACCAAAGGACTCGAAAGACTTGTGAAATATTAAAACATGTTTTAAAAATTGCAAATGTGAAGTCATTTTTCAGTGTTTCCAATATATAATTTTGCTAAGACATCTGCTTCTGGGAAAATTTTATTAGAAAACAAAACATTGTAAAAAAAAATCTATTTTCCAAATCCATGAAAAACAGATCTTTACAAAGAGACCAAAAAAAATATATTTAATATCATTTCCTGGAAGTTTATTTAGAAACTAGGGAGAGGTATTTTCTGTTGAACGCAGTGATCCCAACTTAGTGTGTGAGAGTTCAAGGCAAAAGGGGACATATTTTGCAACTTGTTACCACATTCTCCAGGCTTCATTATCAGTTCTCAGAGTTCTCACATTCTGAGTGAAAAACTACTGAACAAATCCATGAAACTGATGATGCCTGATGATTTCAAGCAAATTATCTGATCAAATCACAAGAACAAGCAGGATTTTTTTTTCTTTTGAGTTGGTATATTTGTGATGTTGGAGTGTAGAAATAATATTTACAACCTTGTTGGGGGTTAATCAACAAACAATAAACTGCACATGTACAATTTTGACCCAAAATACATGCATGAAAACATCACCACAATCAGGATAATAAACATATTCAGGCATCCCCCAAAATTTCCTCATGCCTCTTGTAATTATTCTCCCCCCATCCAGTTGGATATTAAAGTTGTATTAAAATAACTTGTTATATTTTATTGGTGGGTAATATTCCATTGCATGGATATGCGACAATTTATTTATTCAACTGTTGATGGATATTTGGGTTATTTCCAGTTTTGATTATTACAAATAAAGTTGTTATGAATATTTATGTGTAAGTCTTTGTGCAAACATATACTTTCATTTCTCTTAGGTAAACACCTAGAACTGGAATGGCTAGAGCATATGGTAGATGTGTTTAAATTTTAAAGACATTGCCAAATTAGTTTTCCAAAGTAACTGTACCGTTTTACATTATCACTAACAAGATAGGCAAATATTTCTTAGATACATGACCAAAACAATAATCTGTACAGTTTTAAAATATAATAAATTGCATTTCATTAAAATTTAAAAGTTCTTCAAAAGACATTAAGAAAGTAAAAAGATAACCCACAGACTAGAAGAAGATATTTTCATATCATATAAATAACCTATATATTGAGTATATAAAGAACTCCCAAGATTCAATAATAAGAAGCACCCAAAAGTAAAATGGGTAAAATCTTCAGACACTTCACCAAAGAAAATATAAAGATGGTAAAAATGCATGTGAAAAGATAGCCAATATCATTAGTCGCAAATTAAAACCATGAGCTACTACTAGATATCTATAAGAATGGCTTAACTTGGAGACTGACCATATCAAGTGTTAAGAAAAAAACTGAAACCCTTGGGGCACCTGGGTGGCTCAGTCGATTAAACATCTTCATTCAGCTCAGGTCATGATCTCAGGGTCCTGGGATCAAGCTCCGCATCAGGCTCCCTGCTCAGTGGGGAGTCAGCTTCTCCCTCTGCCCCACTGCCCCGCTTGTGTGCTCTCTCTCTCTCTAATAAATAAATAAAATCTAAAAGAAAAAAGAAAAGAAAGAAAGAAAAAACTGAACTTTCATACACTGCTGGTAGAAATAATATTCTAAATGTCTATTGATTAGATAATATTGTGTTAGGTTCTGCATGAATTTTATACTTTCTACACTCCTGAAACTGAACAGTACTACCGCACTTCATTAACAGTGCTTTCTCCATAAGGAAGAAAAATAGAACTGATATATACTCTCGGAATAATTTTACTTATTTTATTACAACATATGATTTTATCTATGCCTTTATTCTTTTTTTTTTTACATTTTTAAAAATTTTATTATGTTACGTTAATCACCATACATTACATCATTAGTTTTTTTTACAGATGTTCTTATTTTTTATTTTTTATTATGTTATGTTAGTCACCATTCATTACATCATTAGTTTTTGATGTAGTGTTCCATGATTCATTGTTTGCGTATAACACCCAGTACTCCATGCAGTATGTGCCCTCCTTAACACCCATCACCGGCCTAACCCATCTTGAAACAATTTATTCCTTCCCTTCACTGAGACTTTCGTCCTCCTTCTTAACTGTCCCACCCATCCCAAATTATCTTTTCGTTTGTTTTGTTTCTTCCAAATTATCTTTATTATTTTTCCTCTGTATATCCACTAAATATTGGTGTTCCTTGGTGCTCTGTTCCTTGTTTTTCTCTTACTCCACAAACCATGAGGCACCTCACCTCATCCAGTCTCTATATTTCAGTTGGCAAGTGCTTTGGCGGTTTGAAAATGTATATCTTCACCACTGAGATACCACTTGAGATTCTGATCCACTAGCTGCACTAACATGTCACACTGGCAACTACAATTCAGGATTCTGAAATCTGTTTTCATTCATTTCTATGCCCTCCAAATATGCTTTCTCAGTGTTCTCTATCAGTGTTAATAAATTTTCCATTCATTCAGTTTCCTGAGACAAAAATCTGGCTATTGTCTTTGACTTCTTCCTCTTTCTTATTCACTTACCTTATTGAAGCTACTCCTTAAATCTTTACATATTACTCTTACTTTCCTCTTCTCTCCTTTCCGCTGCCCTAACTCCAGCTTCCATTCATTTTTTGCCTGGACTCCTCTGATAGTCTGATCATCTTACTTCTGGTAATGACTCTTCCAATCACTTCACACATTTCAGCTTTGACTATTATTTCTAAAACTTAAATAGCTTTTATCAGTCTACTGCTTAAAACTAATGATTTCTCCTAGCCCTTAGGATACATCTCTTTAAAATGGCAAACAAACAAAAATAAATAAATAAATAAATAAATAAATAAATAAATAAATAAAATGGCGAACTATTTATAAGTGGTAAAAAATAAAAATAAAAATAATAACAAATTAATTAATTAACCTTAGCCTTAGCTTTACCTCACCTATTTTTCTTAAGATCTTCTCTCATGAACTTTATTCCCAACTCTATCAAATTCCTTCTTCAAACCTGCCATATTCTCTGATTTCACAGCCTTCCCGTAGGTTGTTCCAACTACTTAGAACATCTCTTAGTTTTTCCTGACCCATTTTTGCCTTGTAAACTTATATATAACTTCTATTTATTTTTCTATCGACTTATGCTGGTGATCATCTCCAATAGGAAGCTTTCTTGGATCTTCCTCGGCTGGGTTAGATGTTTGTACTATGTGCATTCGCATCATCGCACTCATGGAATCTAAAATTTATAGTTATATTGAGCTGTCTGATTCAGAAGCAGTGTAGGGGCAAGGACCATATCTGTCTTTCCACCACTATATCTTATACTTACAACATAACATGTATTCAATTAATAGTCATTTCTTTGAATTAATGGATATATTAATACATAATATATTAATAAATAGAATAATTAATAAATAATTAAGGTATTAATAATAAATTAATTTTATTAATTAAAAAGCTACTACTTGACCACAATAAATAAATACAGAAATGAGAACCTTTGTGCTCACAGGAAGGAAGGCTCACAGAAAAGTGAGAAAACAAAAGAGGAGTTAAAGTTAGGAATGAATGTGAGCAGAAACAAAGATGAAAAAGTGTTTGGAAGATGGGAAAAGAGTTGCCCTAATCAGCTCTCACAAATAAACATAAAAGCCTTTGCTGCCCCCATTTCAAGGTAGTTTGACTAACTCTATTCACGTTTGAGGATGTACACTATGCTTTAGGAGTAACAAATTTAACCAGGAAGCAAAACATAGACAAGAAATTCTAAATAATTGCCTCTTACGACATTGGTAAACACCTTGGAAAGAAGAATAGATGGCCAGGGAGAAGAAGATGAGGGAAACTGTCTAACTGGAACATGACAATCTTAAATGAACCAAACATGGTATGTGTCTTAGACAAAAGATATTCACTAGCACTAAGTAAATGTAACTTCTTGAGTAATTCATTAAAAAAAAAAGAAAAATATACAAGATCTATTTGTAGTACAACAGAAAAAAACTTAGCATTACCTTATTCACTATGACCCAGGAAGTTAAACCATTCAGTGTGTTAGTGTCCTTTCCCTCACTTTTTATTCAAACTTTTTATTGTTATTGAACTTAAAAGTTTTGCCAATGTTGTCAGAGTCCACTGCCTCATAATTGTTCTTCAGACAAAGCTATTTTGTTAAACATTGTTCTGCACATGAAATTATGTGTTTGATACCTGAGTTTTATTGGGGATAACTTAAAACTGCATTACATGTAGAATAATTCATAATAAGATGAAGAATTATATAGATTTGGAAAACAAGAGATGGAAGATTGACACCTTTTCCAAGGAATTAATCAGTGAAGAGTCAATGATTTAAAAATTATGTGACAAGGGGGTAGAGTAGAGGTACTCAGCAGAAAAAAGACTTATATATCAGTCTTTGTTTAGTTGAATCACCAAATACTACTGAATTTCCTTCATAGAAAGAATAAGTCCTAGAAATGTTTGCCTACAGATATTGGGGAAACCAATTCAAAACTTCTCTATTTTGTATACAGACACAAATCCCTGCCTAGATTTCAGGCTGATAGAAACATTTTTTTAAAGATGTGTTTGTTCATCGCTTCTCAGCCTTTTGGCTAAGTCCAAGTGTGAAGATGTGTTTGTTCGATACATAACTACTCTATGAATTCCATTATTTTTCCTAAATCTACTTTGCTCATTGACATAATTCTCTTTTGATAGTGTAATCTAAATGCAAAATATACAGATAATTTCCTTAGAATCCACATATAGATCTATGCTCTAATATATATGTATATATTGATGCCATGATAAGAAGACACTACCAGTGATTCACGTAGTGTCAAATCACTTTTATAGTGTTTTATATATAAAGAATAGCCATTTGATTGTTTCATGTTTTATTGGTATTGTTGTATGATGAAGGCGAGGGAAGGGAAAAGAAGATGAAGTCTATGTGCAGGAGGTTAAAGATTCAGCCTGGAGTCTATCACCAATGAAATCAGTGAAATCATATTAATAAGCTAATGATAAAATATCTAAAAATATCAGTTTTAACAAGTTCATAAATTGTTGGTCATATTTGAGACTAGTCTGTAATCTCACCAGTAGTATTAATGCTACTGTCCAGAATCACTCTCCAACCTTCTCTTAACTGTTATTTTATAACATATGTTTCCCCAGACCATGATAACTAGGGTTCTAAATAAGTACATATTAATAGTTTGCTTGCATCTTGTTTGTTAGTTTTTAATGTCTTAGCAAAATAAGGAGTTGGAGATAAAATCAGATCTTTTTCTTTTGTATTAAATTACATTTTATTGTCCATAAAACCCAAGTCTGAAAAAACTATATTAAATTACTTTCAAAACTTCTTTTACAAAGATCTATGCAGCTTGAAATATAATGTTTTCTAGATGACTACTCAAGAAATGAAGACTTGCTTTAAATAAGACCAATCTGAAAAGGATATTTTTCTCTCCAGTTTGATAAATTTGCTTTCTTAGTAGTGAATATATGTCTCTTGTCTTCAGAACAGTAAACCAAAAATCAGGCAAACTTCATACCTGTTGTTGTCCTTCAGAGGGAAAAAAATATCATTTAATACTTTAGTTCCTATGCATGTATGTATGCTGTTAAATATCATTCAATATTTGCATATAAGTTAGTCAATAAAAGACCATAAGGATGAGCTAGTTTCCTGGAATGATTAAATTATTTGATATTAGATGCCATCTGATAATTCTCAAATACTCTATGCTTATCTAACCATTAAATAAGATATTAGACAATGGAAACTTTTCATACCCTATTCAACATGGAGCTCATATTTAGTCTCCATGGAAAAGGAAAATGGAATTTAACTATATTCACACCCATTGTATCTAAGCACTAAAAGATCTTAAAAAGACATAATCACACATTTTATTCTAGTTCTTTCCTGTTTATTCTCGGCATAACATATTGAATTCTCTGTATTTCCCATATTCTTCATGAAAAATATTTTTTATGCAGTAGCTGTCTCATATATTATTAGAATACATGAATACTAATAGATGTTGGGCTTGCTGTGTCTAATCTATGTGAAATGAGTCCTTCATATAAAAATCATGAGTTATTTGATTATGAGGAATGGAACCCAAGATGTCAGAGACATGTTCTACTAGGCTTCCTAAACCTACTGACACCTCTTATTTTCATTTTCTTAGTAAATGCAAAGAGAAAAGAGAATATAGATGAGCTAGACATACAACTTTGCCAACAGTTTCATTTTCTTTATAAAAGGAAGCCGATTGTCCCAGAATATTAGTCCTCCAAGTGTGGTCCACAAACACTTCAGGGTCCCCAAGCCCTTACAGGGGTTCTCTTATCATCGTCAACATATTATTTACCCTTTTCTCACACCCTGTCACGCAAGTGTACGGTGGAGTTTTCCAGAGGCCACATGACAATGACATTGAATCATGAAATGTGTCCACGTTTGGTACATCTTCATAACTCAGTGAACAATATTTTCCAAATAACCAATGCATTATGCGACTTAAACTTCATGGATAAAAGATCCACTCAAAATGCAAGATAAAAGATTTTTTATTTATTTATTTGACAGAGAGAGTGAGAGAGCACAAGCAGGGGGAAGAGCAGAGGGAGAGAGAGAAGTAGGCTCCCCACTGAGCAGGAAGCCTGATGCAGGGCTCGATCCCAGGACCCTGGGATCACGACCTGAGCGGAAGGCAGACGCTTAACCGGCTGAGCCACCCAGGTGCCCCTCAAAATGCAAGATAAACCAATAGATTTTAATGTAACAGAATATAGAAGGTATAGCGCTACATATTCAGATTCTACATTGTAACCAACCTTCGAGAAACTACTTGTCAAGTTTTGGTGTTGTATGAAAGCACATACACAGTTATCTGAAAAGTCTGTTAAAATGCACCACTCTTTGTCAACTACATGTCTGTGTAAAGCCAGATTTTTCCCCTGTACTTCAATGAAACACATATTGCAACAGATTGAATGCAGAAGCAGATATGAAAATCCAGTTTATTACCCAGTCAAACATTTAAGATGTACACTGCAAAAATGTAAAACATATAAAGAGGTCTGGAGCCAAAAAGCTTGAGAACTGCTGCTCTAGGAAATAAATCTGCATTACAAAAGAAAATTTGTGCCAGAAGAGCATTTAACCCCAATTTAAAATGGAACTCTGTTTAAAGGCTATATAAAAATTAGAACAAGACTGTTTGTCAGGCTGTTTGGGAATTCCGGAAGGTGAAGGAAATTACTGGGTCCTAATTCACAATATGAAGTGTATGTATGTTTGTATGAAATGTATATATCTTAGCGCCACCTGGGCTTAAAACAATGAGAAACACTACTATGTAAGCCTAACTAAGTCAATGGCATCTAGATCTAAATCTAGATTATAAAATGAAAAAGAATCAGTGACTAAAAGAAAATATCATGCACCCTCATAGCATTTCCAGACAATCACTTCATAGAGTATGGTTTTTTTGAACTCTTTTTGTTCCAATATGGCTAACTTTAACCCAGAGCCACTTCTAAATATACCTGTATTAAACAAATATTAATAAATGTAAGCATTACAACCGAAAGGGCGACCAGTGATGTTAATGGAAACAAGGATGATGAAAAAAGCAATAATAAATATCTTATACTAAGAAGAATGATATTTAGTTTAGGATTAATATTCCCTCTGAAAATCAGTGAGAACAATGATATGATTTGCCTTTAGTTATCTAGTAATGGGAAACCCAAAGATCAAAAGTGCCGATCATTTACACTTTACCTTGTAAAAAAAAAAATAGATGAAACATTTCACAGCAAAGTTTGAAGAAAGTGAAGTAAACATTCACCATGAAGCAATTATTTTACATCAAGCTAGAAACCTCAGAGTATTGTACACAAATGTCTTCCACCCACCACTACACTGGGTCAGACAACATTGGTTCTAGGTTTTCTCCATCATGTTCCTGTTCCATTCCCACTGCTTTAGTCCCTAAGCTCTGTGACTATAACCTCTCCATCCTTCAGTGTGTCTTCACACAGATGCCATCATCAAAATCATATCTGTTCAAGCAAGTCTCCTCATGTTTAAATAGTCGATGCCTACAAGATCAAGTCCATATTCGTTGGCTTCACATGAGTCCTTTTTCAATCTGTCCCCACCTGCCTTTCCAGACCTTCAAAACCAACCAAGTCCGTCTGTTTCAGAAATGTCCTCTATTCTTAACCCAGCTCTGTCTATTCATCTCTTTCTCACTCTATCAGACACTTAATCACAAGAACATGATTTAATTGCATAGTTCACACATGGAGTTTTATGGACTCTGATTTTGGAAGAAACAAGAATTTTTACATCCCAATCTTGGGATTTTCCCCAATGCCAAGGTGATGTTAAATTCTAACTAATAATAATTATAGTCACCATTACTTGAATATTTACAAGGTGCTAAAGGTTTTTACTAAGTAGTGGGAGCAATTAAGTTGCTCAAAAAATTCAGATGCACTGAAAAATAAAAGTTGTATGTTTTACCTATAATTTGATCTTTTCATGAACTCATCTAAACTCAATCTTATCAAATAATTCAAACCCTATGTTTAGGCACTGTTCAATCTTTGATGGTAGTATCATTTTCTTCTGTCTCTGTCCCCCCCGTCTTAAACATGGCATTAATTAGACTTACATGGATATCCCACATACAACCCAAATTCAATATGCCCAAGGCCATGTGCTTACTTACCATATTCCTCCCTTCATCTACCACCCTTTTTTTCCTCCTATGTTAACGGTTACCAAACCAAAAATCCGTAGGTCTTCTCTACAATTTTTTTTTCCACAGGCAACTGATAAAATTTTTTATTTCACTTTTGAATTTTCACACTTTTCCTGATTATTCCATGTTAAGGTGGAAACTAGAACTGTTTAAAAGACATACACAAATCTAGTACATCAATAACTGGGGATTTTTCTTTTTCTTTTTTTTTTTTTTTGGCTATACTATTTTCACAACCACAGGAGTGCTTGACCGTCACAGAAGCAAATGTGAGGCAGAATACTGGTAAGGAAAAACGGAAGCAAGAAAGAGCTACCAGATATACAGACAGGCTCGTTCCACATTCACTACTGCATTTTCAAGCAGTAGTGCACGTTTAACTGCACGTTTTTGTTCAGCTAGAAAGGGGGGGAGGGATTTTTTTCTTTTTTCTTTTTTTTTGGTTTTAAATCAGTGCATGAATGTTTCTTTTCTCATTTCAGCAGATGGACAAACAGGTGGACACTACAGCTACGTGGAATGTTCAAGGGAGAGGGGGTACTGTGAGACTGGTAGGACTGGCTATTCTGGACTCTCCCCACTGCGGTGTTCATGCAACTTCCCTGCATTATAGGGTCTTGTTCAAACAGGTCTGTGAACTTGGCTGGAGGAGCACACTTGGGAGACCTGGTGACAGGTACTAACAAGCGTTATCAGGGCTGGCTGCAACACAGGGAGAAATCATGGGTATTTAAAAACACTTTTTTGATTCAATCTCGGTCTGACTGAAGAGCAACAAGCGTGCTGAGAACCGGAGGAAGCCAGAGCTGTGTGCTGGAAGCTCTTCTCAACTCTCTGAAGCGAGGTCTGCTGACCAAAGTGCTCGCCATCTTTGCTCACCCCCTTCAGGCCCCCGCCCTGCCCAAACAGTATTAAACAAAGAACAGAAGACAACGACAGAATTCAAAAAGAAAAAAATGTAAGGAAACAGGACAGAAACTTAAGGAGGGAAAAGAAAAACCAAAGTCAACAGTCAGTCAAAAAGGACAGTGGGAAGAATGTTTGATTTCAAAATTTTAAAAGCCCCAAGCTAGGAAGCACCCAAAGACTGAGTACTTCTTAAGTGAAAGGCAATCTCTGCAGAACATGACTCTTAAGGTATTACCCAGGAAACAGAGAAGGCCATTCATGAGATACACGGCTTTTTTCTTCTTCAGGTCCTGGTTACAAGGAAAACAGATTCCACTACTGGAGCACAAGTTGCAAATCAGTCAGATGGCTGTGGGAAAGGGGTGTCAGTCACATGTTTTAGGAACACTGGACCTTTTCATGGTGTCAAAATCCAATTAACTGCCACAAAGAGTTTCCATTTCAGGCTTCGAGTTTACTCAGAGGAAGACACTGTGGACATCTGCAGTCATGAACTTTCGAGTGGCAACAGCCCCAACTGGCCAAGTGTCTGTAATCCCCAAAAAACAGGCAGAACTACTGTGAGTTACTGTCACACTTGAATGTCACAGGACAGGTGTCTCACTCCACGTCCCAATATAATCTCTATAACTTTCTGTACAACTTTACCGTGGAACTGTTATTTCAGTGACTAGTTTGATATCAGATTAAACTTTCCAAAAAGTTACACATAATTCAGGTCTAGTTTTTCTACCAGTAAGAGTTCTGCTAAGTTACAAAACCCCATAATCACAGTGTTCAGTTTAAAAAAAATTCAACACACAGTAATCCTATCAATGTCAATCAAAATCAAAATTTCAGAATGCCGTGGCATTTATGTGACCAATCTGAGTTTTAGATACAAACACCAGCTGTTTATCCCATGGACCATTTTGCTAGGCTGAGGCTGTGAAAAATTGAAAGTCGACGTCCGACTCTTTTTTTTTTCTTTTAATCGCACAAAGGGATATATGTGGAGGGTACAGAGTGACATTGAACAGATCACGAAGCACAACAGACATTAGTTCTCTCCCTCCCCAGCATCTCTTTCATCTCCCTGGTTTTCCGACGTGCACAGTGTGAGACGGTCCCCAAGCAACTGCATGATCAGGGTGCTGTCTTTGTAAGACTCTGCATTCAGTGTATCCAATTCAGCAATTGCTTCATCAAAGGCCGGTTTTGCCAGGCTGCAAGCCTTTTCAGGAGAATTTAGAATCTCATAGCAGGAGACTGAGAAATTCAGGGCCAGGCCACGTCGAACTGGGTGTGCAGGCTGCATTTCTTTCTTACTCATTTCAAATGCTTCCTGGGAAGCCTGCTGGGAGTTCGACACAGTGCTTTGTTTACTACCTCCAGATGCCACCTCCGAGAGATACCTAAAATGATCTCCTTTCCTTTTCAAGCAGAACACCTTGCTTTCTGGTTGTGTAGCGCTGGGAACAAGATGTTTGTCCAACAGCTCCCGGACATCATCGCGGATACCTGCCGCTCGGCCTCTGTCTTCCGCCGGCGCTCTCTGCCCAGCCGCTGCTGCTCCTCCGTCCGCCCGGTTTTCTGCTCAGTGCTGGGGGTGACGCGCCACGACGAGCGGCGGGCGCCCCCCACGTCCTTGTAGGCGACGGAGAGCAGATTTGCCTCCCCACTGGAGAGTTCGTGCCCCTGTTCCGAGGCCGCAGCCATGGCTCGCCGTACCAGCTCACTTTTACCCGCGGTCGTTCCCGGGGGGAGGGCAACAGGGCGCAGAGACGCGTGTGAGCGAAGCCGGCAGCGCGGTGACCGCGTCCCTCCCCAGCCCCCTCCTCAGGCGGCGGCGGCTCCACTTCCGCCTCTTGTCTACTATTTCGGAAAAGCAAGCAATTAAACAAAATTGCCGATTTGCTTTTCCAAAAATTTCTACTCCTGATTTCCTCCCTCCCCCCTATTACTTCGACTCTACCCTAGATCCCAGCTCGAGTGAGCTCTACGAAAGAGCCTGCTTCTAGTCCTGCCCCCTTCAAATACATTCTCCATGTCGTACCTGGGTTGCTCTACCGAAAATGTAAATCTAGTGTGTTTAAGCTAGCTTGTTTGTTTAAAACTAGTTTGTTTAAAACCCTTGCTAGTAATGGGATAAATCCTGAGATTCCTGGCTCAACACAAAACATGACACAAATACTATTTTTCCAGTAACATTTGCCACTATTCCCTATCTCACAATTAATGCTTTCATAATAGGGAGATGCCTGTAATGTCTCCTCACCCCCATGATTTTTTTATATCCTTTCACCTTTGGTCATGGTGTTCCCTCTAGAGTTTCTTTTTCACGTTTATTTATCTGGCTAACTCTGACTCATGTTCAAATACTTAATATCTATGATATTATCCCACTTTGTGCATGTACTGCCCCTAAAACTTATTAAAACTCTTTAGGACAATCACAGACCTGTACCTCTGAAACAAATAATACATTATATGTTAAAAAAAAAAAAAAAAAGAAGAAGATAGCAGGAAGGGAAAAATGAAGGGGGGGAAATCGGAGGGGGAGACGAACCATGAGAGACGATGGGCTCTGAGAAACAAACTGAGGGTTCTAGAGGGGAGTGGGGTGAGGGGATGGGTTAGCCTGGTGATGGGTATTAAGGAGGGCACGTATTGAATGGAGCACTGGGTGTTATATGCAAACGATGAATCATGGAACACTACATCAAAAACTAATGATGTAATGTATGGTGATTAACATAACATAATAAAATAAAAAAATGTAAAAAACAAAACAAAACAAACTTTCAGGACAGGATTTGTGCTTGGGTTGAAAACTGCATTCATTAATCTCAAGTGACCTTCCCACTCTAAAATTCTAAACCTTGTGATTTCCCTTACTAGTCATACCCACCCCAATCCTCTCAAACCCAGCTTCTCTCTTTCAAAATTCTATGTAAGGCTTTTCCAACTCAGAAAAAAAAATAATTTAAGGAAAACATTTCTCTCAGTTATCAGAAGATAACTCACATATTAGGTGCCAAATTTAGATAAGCATCTACACAAACAAGACCCATTTCCTCATTAAACTTCCTTGAGGGAGATTTCGCGGATTTTCATCATTCTGCCAGTTCCAAAATTTCTCAATCTTTCTTCCAAAACATTTTTATATGCAAGTAAAACTGGCTGAATATACAGACTCATAGAATTTTAGACCTATAAGAAACATTACATTTAACTAGCCTAAATCCCTTCTTTTTACAGAAAAGAAAATGAAGCCCAAAGATTTTCTGAAGGACACATTGCTCATGAGCTTATGTGTTTCTGCTATGCATGTGTTTGTCACCATACTCCCAAATATATTTACACACACATTTGTACCACACAGTATGTAGCTAGACCCCTGTCGTATCCCTGGTTTTAGGGGGATGGAAATCACAGCTTCTCCTTGTTCATTGCTTTCTTAAAAAAAAAAAAATCAACACTATCTAATTCCGATTTTACACTCTAAGTGAAGGAAAATGTTGACTGAATGAATGACGGACTCCCCTACTACTCTGCTAACTGGTGTTAAGGCATCTCTCTGAGCCCGACTTTGTTTCTCCTGGCATGAGTCTCGTTCACTCACGTCAATGGCAGCCATATCCAGGGACTTGTGGTCAGAACAGAGTCTAGTGTGCTGTTTCTCTCTAATTATTCTACTTGACATTGCTCTGGCTTTTTTTCCCCTCCAGTGTGTGACTGGAAGTCTCTTTAACAGTTGAAATAGTGGTTATGTATGCACACTGGAGAAATGGACAATATTCACTAAGATCTGTCATTCGTAAGGCACTGTGAGTGACTAATCCTTGCTCTCTCCTTTTCTAGCTTCAATATATGCATTATGATCAATGTTAACTTCTATGATTACTCTAAAGGCAATAAAAGGTAATACTTTCCTCAAGTGGTGCAGGGCCAGGATGGATTATCCTGCTGTCTGGTCTTTAATGAAAGATATCTACGTTACACATGATTTGGACCTATAATAAGTAAAGGGAGAACATTCTTATCAACTATCCTCTGTAAAAAACTGGAGTTCAGAAGCCTTGCCCCTGGTTTCCTTAAGAGGAAATCAGAGCAATTCAAAAGAGTGGATTCCAGGTATAGATATCAGATTCATTAGAACTATTACCTGAACCCCACAGTTTGAGCTACTTGTTACTCACCTACCACCTCAATACTGGTCCAGTGCCCAGACTGGTTCTGACTGAGGCAGGAGGCACTGAAGAATCTCTTCTCCATACTATGATAAGCCTTACTCAACCAATCTCGGTTTAGTTTCCTTGACCTTTGCTTTGTTCCCATGTAAGACTTACAGTAACATATGTGGAAAACCAGATTTTTTTCCCCCAGTAGAGGTATATGCAAACTGTGTGTTTAAAGTAAATTATTATAAGCATTTAATATGAGTAGAATAACAATTTAAAATTTTTAAACATCCCCATGAGAAGTGGATATTTAAAGGAAATGCATCATTATATTTTCTGCTATTCAAAAAATTATTTTTTAGAAAGTTGTATTTCCACATACCAAATTTTTAAAATTATGCTATAAATCTTCATGTTAGCCATAGTCAAAATCATGTGATAAACTGACTTAGGTATTACAAATAAAAGACCCCTGATTCCTTTAATATTATAATTGAGACTTAGAAAAATAAATTTAATACCCAGTCTAGAATTGAATGCTTATTTTAGGGCAATAAGGATAATTTTTTTTTTTTCAACTTCCTTTTCCAAAGAGAGTCTTGACTCACATGATTAGTGACCAGCAGAGGGCACTACCTACACAGCTGAGGGTCTGCACTCTTGATGACTAACTTCTTCCACTCCCATCCCCACCCACTGGCACACACACTACCACCATCACTATAAGGTACAACCCAGACTCGGTCAAGTGAAAAGAAAGAAGTCTGTGCTTGTTTGTTCCTATCATATCAGAAGTTAACCTTTAGCTGGAAACTAAATTTACACCAATGCACTAAGCTTAGATCATTGTTCTGATATAAATATAGCCTTAAGCTAGAATTTCTTATATATTCAAGGAAGATAAGTGGATTCCTTTGTACTTTGTTTCAACCATCAATTGTGGTTAAAAACTCAAATTACGTTTCGCTGAAACTGCTTCTTCCTATCATACATCAATTCCCACATATATAAAGTGAAATTTAACCTACATGTTTCCAGCATTACTTTTTTACATGTTTCCAATACTATTTAAACTGTACCTCTGCAGGGGCGCCTGGGTGGCTCAGTCGTTTGGCGTCTGCCTTCCGCTCGGGTCATGGTCCCAGGGTCCTGGGATCGAGCCTCGCATCGGGCTCCCCGCTCAGCAGGACGCCTGCTTCTCCCTCTCCCACTCCCCCTGCTTGTGTTCCCTCTCTCACTGTGTCTCTCTGTGTCAAATAAATAAATAAAATCTTTAAAAATAATAATAATAATAAATAAACTGTACCTCTGCAGAACTCTACTACTTCTAGAAAAATTTAGAAGGCTTTTTATAGCTTGCTTATGCTCTCTCCTTTCAACAGGAGAGTGATTTTATAACTTTTAAAATGTTTTTGTTTGTTTAAATCAAGAAACTGCTAGGGTAAATTCATAGGTGTATTTCATGTGAGAAATTTCCTAAATTTCATAAATTTTCATAAATGTAATGCCTTACTGAAAACTTCTTCACTGAAAATTGTATAATACTGGAGAAAAATGAGAAATGTAAAATAGACAGCAGCATCAGTTTATCAAACAGAATCCTTCTAAAAATGAAAGCAAGACCCTCCCTTTCTATATTTAATAGCTGTGTGACATTGGGAAGATTACTTAAACTTATCTTGCCTCAAATTACTCCTCTGTAAAGTAGGGATGATAATGTTATTCTAGTTTCTTGGTTTACAGATGAAAAACTGAAGCCAACCATGATTCTGAAACTTTGTGAGATATATCTTATTTTAACAGCTAAGAATAGAACACAGGCTCCTGAATTCTCATCCTGTTCATTCTACCTCTTTTCCTATATTCTTGTCTAAGTACAATCAGAATCTCTAACCAAGGCTAAACTTAGTATATAATTTACCTCTACTCCATTTATATGACTATATAAGCAGCTGTGAATAAGCAAGATGTTTTTCTTCAAAAGTAACTTATTTTGATGCAGAAAAAAAATGTTAAGTGATGATTTAATATTTACCATATTCATTTGGATCCAAAATGAAAGTCCATGCAAAAATCTTTACCAATGATGGTGAAATCCTAGAAAGTTAACATATTTTTAGAAAGGGATATAATTTAGAAAAGGATATAAATTATTTCCCTATTCACATTGTTTTCAAAAAGTTATTAAAATTTAATTTCTTGCAAAGATATTTTTATACAGAGAGGAGCCAATGGCAAGGCAAAATAGAATCAAAGTTTATAAGTATTCAGTTATAGGATTAGAGAGTTTCATTGAAAAATACAGGCTTGGCTCCTGGAAAATCTCAAATATAGGGTTGGATTAGGGAAGGCTATTTAAAAATTCAAGATAATGACTATCTGACAAAACACAATTTAATATTTACAGTATATTATGCTATTATCATCTCTACAAATAATAACTCAACTTAATTCTCACAACAAACCTACATACTTTATTGAGATTGTCACCTATGTTTTATAATGAGGAAACTGAGGCACAGAGAAGTAAAACAAATTACCCATATCACATAGCTGGGAAATAGCAGAGCTTGGATCTGCACCCAGGCTGGTCAACTCCAGAGGCCATGCATTTAACACCAGCTCTATGCTGCCACATCCCCAATAAAAGCCTTCAATAGTTTCTTGTCATGCTCAGAATAAGTTCCTTGCTGTGGCCCTCACATAGTGTGACCCTGCAGATATTCCCAAGTTCATCTCTTCTGCTTCCTTTTTGCCTACAATGTTGCAACCACATTGACCTTTCTTTTCCTTTGACAAGCCAAGTTATTTTCCCAGGGTCTTGAAACTGATTATTCCCTCTGCCCTAATACCCATCCCTTTGATCATCATATGGCTGTCTTCTCTCTAGCCTTCAGATCCCACTTTAAGTGTCACCTCCTAGCAGAGATCTTTATGATCACACGCTGAAAGAAGCCACCCCATTACTGCCTAATAAAACAACCTATTATATATTTCTTTGTAA